TTCAAGTTTTCACTTCTGCCGGCACTCCCGGACTGCAACCCGTTGTTTTTTTTGTAAAACACGGATTTAGTGGGTAACTCAGTAGGAGTTTCCACTATGATTCAATTTCTGTCCTTGAATTTAAATAAGATTTCTGTAAAGACTCAGTATTTTTTAGCTAGTTTTTTTACATGATAAGTTATATGCTGCTATTAAAATATGAAAAATAATATTTAAAATGATCGTTAAAATTGGTTGAACCGTAGTAGGGTGTAGTAAAACACGACATTTCCAATATTGAAAATTCATTTTTCTAAAGAAATCCGAAACAAACAGTTACTATTTTTTTTTGGTTTGAGGGCTAATATAGTTTTTTTTTAATTTAAAGTATGATTCAATAAAAACACTTAATTTTATATTTTCACCATCTATAGCAGTAGGACATGGTAGTCAACAAACTAAAAATATGTATGCCCATATAAGCTAAATGCTAATGATGCTAATGACTGACTCACTCATCACGAGATCTCCAAAACTATGCGCCCGATTGACTTGAAATTTGGCATATATGGAGTCTCCAGCCATTCAGTGAGTTTTTGTTTACAGTTTCGATAAGTCATAGGATATATATATATATATATATATATATATATATATATATATATATATATATATATATATATATATATATGAGGGGGATAAGTCGCTCGCGTCCGTAGGCTTTGACCACCTATTCCTAGGCCCACCTTACACGTGTCCCTCGGGTGGTACTATATGAGCGACGAGCCGATACCACGGACTTGGCTCCACGCCGTGGTAGCGGCGTAAAATATACTACCCCATATTTCGCACCATGAGGAACCATATAAAAGAAATGGCCCCAAGTTCCCGGCGCCCCTTTAATGGGGCAGGGGTGCGTAGAATCTTCGGGAGGAAAACCGGTGATGAGGTTCGCCACCCGTCACGTTCTGTCTCCCGGAGAGGCCAAAAGTGGATTGCAGAGGCCCGTCTGGTTACGTTGAATGTATGTGGGGCAATGAACGATAAAATGGATCAAGTATGCGATATGATGTATGATAGAGGAATAGATGTGTTATGTGTAAATGAGACGAAAAGGAAGGGGAAGGATGTCACTACAAATGGCATGTATACCGCATACTGGTCTGGTGTAGACGAGATCAAGCGGGCATGCCAGGAAGTAGGTATCATCCTTTCAGAAAGAATGGGCCAATGTGTGAAAAAGTATGCATGTGTAAGCCCAAGACTGCTATGGATACGAATGAAAGTGGGCTTAAAGAAGTTGTTTGTGTTAGTGGTCTACGCCTCAGACATGTCTAAGCCCACTTATATCCGGGAGCAGTTTTGGGAAATGGTAAGGATGGTGTCAATGAAGTGTAGGGGAAATGAAAATATTATTATGCTAGGAGATTTTAATGGAAGGGTTGGGGTGAGGAGGCTTGGTTATGAAAGGGTATTGGGAACGTTTGGTGATGAAAGTATAAATGAGAATGGTGAAAGTCTCCTCACCGTATGTATGGAAAAGAATCTTTTTGTGACGAACACTTACTTTCTCCACAAGAAGATTCACGTGTATACTTGAGAAAGAGGTGACGATAGAAGCATGATAGATTTCATAATTGTGGATGAAAGATTGAGGGGCGCAGTGGTAGATACAAGGGTTTACCGGGGTTCTAACGTAGGAAAGGATCATTATTTGGTTTTATGCCGAATTAATGGTCTATTCAGGCATTGGCGCCATCGATCATCTGTGTCTACCACTGCGTTACAGCGTATTAGAACAGAAATGGTACAAGATGAAGGTGAGAAAAACAAGTTCAAATCTAGACTGAAAGAAAATATAAGTGGTTTGGGTGAATTATGTATGAAGGAGTTAGACTTGGAGAATGTATGGCAAAACGTAAAGAAACGTTTAGTGGATGCAGCTACCGAAGTATGTGGTGTTAGTAAGAGAAAGAATGAAAGGAAAAATAATATGTTATGGTGGGATGATGAGATACGTATGGAAGTTGAAGCAAAGAAGAGAGCATGCTAGATTTACTAGCAACAAAGGCTGGTAATTCCAGCGGTACGAATGATGATATTGAAAGAAAAAAGGCAGTCTTTACATATTAATAAGAGAGTAAAAGAAGTAGTTGAAAGAAAAGAGCAAGAAAGAACGGATAAGAATGATGAATATCGGATAACTTCCAGGCAAATATTAAAATGTTCTGGAAACTTGTAAGAACTGCCAGGGGACATTCAAAACCAGGGATTGAATAACCGAAAAAATTATGGTACAGACGATAAGCGGTATGACGTCATACCTTTAAATTTCGATACCCTAAAATAAAGGTACCTTTAAATTACTATACCTTAAAGTAACTGTACCATTACTTTTCAAGTATCTAAATTATAAAATAAAGGTATAAAGTATAAACAAAGAAATTGTATCGCGCCGAGGCTTCACGCAGTGTCGGCCGAATTGGTAAGAGAGTAGGTACTTGATCGAAAATTTACGGATATTCGTGTCTCGGCAGCTAAACAAAGTAGATTGTTTTGCCATTTTGCCGCCATTCATGTTTCCGCGTATACTTTGATTGTCAACTTAATCACAAGTGTGCTTTTTTTTATTTATTTTATGTACACACATTAAGATACAGAAGCAGTCTTATAGTAATTTCGTACAAAGGTTCTACTTATTCCAAATTAGCTGAAATATCTTCCAGTAGACCCATAAAGGAAATTATATTGAAATTGCAAACTTAGTGCATACAATAGTACTACTAAAAAATAAATAATATATACAATGTTACGTAAATTATATAAAATAAAACAATAAATAAAAATAAAATAAATCAATAAATAATAATGGACATTCAAAACAGCCTATGATGAATGCTATAAGAGACGAGAATGGCTATATTCTGAGTGATGAAGTTTTGAGTTTAAAGAGATGGAAGGAATATTTTGAAAGCGTGTTTATGAGTGAGGAGACAACGTGTGTACTAAGTGAAGTAGAAACTCCGAAATAAGAGGAAAGAGGTAGCGAGATAAGTATAGATGAAATAATAAAAGCAATGAAAAGCATGAAAGCGGGTAAGGCTGCCGGATATGATAAACTTTCACTCGAAATGCTAAGGGCTGGAGAGGAAGTCGTGGCAGGCCTGCTGCACACCTTGTTTAATTTATGCTGGGAACTGAAGCGGGTACCGGTAGACTGGTGCAAAGCCGTGATAGTCCCAGTATATAAAGGAAAAGGGTCGCAGCAGGACTGTAAAAACTACCGTGGCATCAGCCTTCATAGCATTGTGGGAAAACTGTATGCTAAGGTACTGACTGAAAGGGTCATGAAAGAAACTGATGAAAAAATTTGGAATGTGCAAGCGGGTTTTCCATGCGCATGATCGCGGAGAAGTTTTTGGCCAAAAACCAAAAGGTTTTTTGTGCGTTCATGGACTTGGAAAAGGCCTATGACAGACTGGATAGGGATGTGCTATGGCAAACACTGTACTCATTTGGGTTGAGCGCTGGCTTGATACAGGCATTGGAGTCTCTTTATAGGGACTCTAGTGCTTGTGTTAGGATCAACGGGGTCTACTCGGACTGGTTTGACATCCATAAAGGTGTCAGACAGGGCTGTGTGGCTTCCCCGTGGCTGTTCAACCTATTTATGGACAGATGTTTGCAAAATTTGAAAGTTGAAGAATGCGGATTAAGAATGGGTGAGTAAACCGTCAAATGCCTTTTGTACGCCGATGATCAAGTTATCCTTGCGTCGTCGGCGGCCGAGTTGCAAATGATGGTTACATTAATGAACAGATCATTAAAAGAAAGGGGTATGAAAGTGAACGCAAGTAAGACGAAGGTTATGGTTTTGAAAGAGAAGAAAGTAAAACGATTTGTGAAATAAGAATAGAAGGGGAGTTGATCGAGCAAGTAGATGAGTTTGTATATTTGGGCTGCGTATTTAGCAGGGATGGGAGATATGATAAGGATATAGAACGACGAGTGAATGCGGGAAATAGAGTAAATGGGGCACTGCACTCTATTGTGAAGAGTCAAAATGTATCAAAAAAGGCACGTATGGCAATTCACAATGCTGTGTTGGTCCCTACTTTCTTATGGTAGTGAAAGTTGGGTGTGGCAGAAGAAACACGAGAGTAGAATCAACGCAGTAGAAATGCGGTCGTTAAGGAGTATGTTAGGGCTGAATCTGAACGACTGGGTAAGAAATTGTGTAATAAGAGAATAGTGTGGTTTGCAAGATGATGTTGTGACCAGGATTAAGAAAGGAATGCTTCGGTGGTTTGGTCATGTGGAAAGAATGAATGAGGAAAGAGTGACAAAGAAAATTTATGTTGCAGAAGTGAATGGCAGAGTCGGAAAGGGACGTCCTAGGCGAAAATTTATCGACCAAATTGGCGATTTATTGAAAACGGGCCAAATTAGGAGTACCCTTAACCGACGGCCATGTATGCGTAGGTGTATGGATGTGAAGGAGGCGAGAGAGGTGTGTCAGGATCGTGCCAAATGGAAGTCTGTAGTCTCTGCCTACCCCTCTGGGTGACAGGCGTGAGTGTTTATGTTATGTTTATATATATATATATATATATATATATAGCATTTTATTAATTTTATTATATATTGTACTGTTTGCGAGAAAATTTAGTCTTTCTTTAATTTGGTGTGGCTTTATATGTCAAATTTCAAGTCAATCCTTCCGCGGGTGTTACATCTTGTTTAAGATACTTACAATATTATCGTAAGGTAGGTGAGGTGTAGTATGTTCGTTGTGTGTGGTGGCTCTAGCGGCTTCTAGCGACAGCAGCTCATATATGCAGAAATAAAACAAATACTTTATTTTCTAAAAGGTCTTAATTTATCTTTACTAAAAGAACGTAGGTAAATATAGATGCGAATTCCCAGCTATTTTAGCTTTCTTGCTCGGTGAATCCCATGCTATACTATCTTTTAATTATAGTAATCAATTAAATAAAATACTAGATTCTATCACGCTCGAATTAAAGAAGAAACGGTACGTCTAAATTTTTCCGTCCATGGCCAACATATAAAAATCCAGCGTCTGGCGTTCTAATTTTATGAAAGTACATCATTCCAGGCCAGTAAAGACTTTTGAGGTAGGCGACACTGCCCACATTTTCTAAAATTAAATTCCAGCAACCTTTTGGTATATCTTGATCAATGGAGTCCAGAAAGTCCATACTGTAATTGTAATCTGGCCGAGTAAGGAGATTTGTATTCCACTTATGCTGAGCTGGTCTTATATGAAGATACGATTTGAGCATTTTTGCTTCCGTTGCAGTTAGACCATAGAAGTTAGGGTTGATCACTACAGTGCCTTCTGGTTGCTTAATTAACTGACCTCTTGCACACACTTCTGCTTCTTCGCAAATGTTGCTTATAGTAGCAGCTAGTCTTGCCTCTTCTTTCATAGTTTTGCAGCGATCTGGGTCATTTTCGTCTAATGCTTCGTCTAATACTTTGATATTTTCCGATGGATCGCCTCGAAACGGTTGTGTTGCAAGTAAAGAAAGCAATTTGTACTTCTTTTTTGCCTTCGGCAGTAGTCCCCAAAAGTTAAAATCTGTTGTGTAAAAATATTTTCGATCGTTGAGGGCGTCTTTGTTTATGCCAACAGCTATGTGATAGTCTGCATCAATAGCGTATATTTGACCCCAATATTGCATAGTAATGAAATGATTTTCCACTTGTATCAAAGTCAAAGAAGTCTGCAGTAAGGATATTAGCTCGCTAGTTAACATCACACCGTTAACATTAACGTGTTCTTTGTAATCCCATAGCTTGTGAACGTTCATGATATTAATTTCAAGGAAATGAAATAATTTTAACAATGAATATTTAAATGACAGCTGTTAAGTCAAATTTTAAAATACTTAAAAATGTCGCTGCCATAGATTACTGACTATGTACTAGAGATGTATGGTCGCTTCAATCCCAGTCACGATCCAATAAATGTTTGATTGAAATCTATGATTCATACACATAGATTTTGGTTTAATTCAAGTATTCAACACCTTTGTTTTTAGAGCGGCTAATATTATATAAAAAGTCAATGCGACATTCTTTTGGAGGGGAGTGGGTGCTTTATTAAAAAATAAACAAAATATTGTATATACCGCTATAAGACCGTTTCTTGTCTTCCTTCATTATTTGTATATTTTGTTATGCTAATCTTTCCTCGGTGTACAATAAATAGTAAAATAGTAGATACATATTGTTTTGTGTTGTGTATTTCTTTTTCATTTCTTTCCTTTCTTGCACCCATGTAGCCTGACGCGAAATGCAAACAAGTGTTGCATTTATTTGTGACGTTGCTCATGGGGGTCTATTGCTACAGTTGCCACGCTTGGCGAGCGGGATGGCAACCGCAGTTTTTTATTGCTTTTTTCTGTTATCTTAAGTAAGACTTCAGATAAGACTTTAACTTACTTGAACGAACCTTGTGTTGCGAACTGCCTCGTTAGTCTAGAGGTCGTAAGCGCGACTGCTAATCATGTGGTCTCGGGTTCGAACCCCGAATAGGTCAAAAATCAATTGACGGCTCCGTGGCGCAGTGGCTTAGCTAGTGGCTTTAGCTTATGAGTTACAGCGCTAAGGGCCGCGGGTTCGTATCCCGCACGGAACAAGTATTTGTATGGCCTTCCAGTAATTGTTTCGGGTCTGATGTTTGTCCTTGAGCAAATTATGTTTGTAAACTGCCCCCATGATACAGGAGAAAATCCTAGTGTGGAGTTTTAAAAAAAAACAAAAAAACAAAACTTTTCAAGAAATTTTCGGTAGCAGCCCGGAGTCAGGAAGTTGGGGGTATTTCACCCCCGTGTCTCAGAAAGCACGTGAAGTTGTTGGCTGTCGGATTGCCGTCCCATCAGACAATGAGAGTTTGAGCACTCTCTCGTGTACTATAACACTGCTCTACGCAGAATGTTAGTCTCATTGAGACTGTCCGCCGTCACCGTGACTGAAATTCCGCCTGGAGGATATTATTAATATTGTGAAGACTGCTCTAACACCGCAATCTTACTTAAATTAAAAAATATAAATTACTGCCATTAGCAAACAAAAACCTTAGACAATAAATATTGTTTTTCAATTGGTTTTTTTTATATACCACGTTTAAAAAAAGTAAAAACAGTATAAAAAAACGAAAAAAGGTATAAAACTCTTTCTTCTTCTTTTTGTTTTTTTTTTACATTCATATTCTTACATTGTCATGCGATTCTGAGCAATGTTCAAAATCCCACGTTTTAGACTTGAAATTCTTGACTAGAATTTCTCGTTGGAAAGTCAGTTTAAAATCAATTACTAAATTCGACACGAATGAGACACACACGAAAGTGAGTTAATAAAAACGTGGTAATATAAATAAATGTATTTTAACTAAATGTTATTGATATATCTATGGTAGTTATATCTTTCAATAGTAGCGTTATTCTTTGTACGGTATACAGATCAAATACGTAGTTTTTTAATATCTCATTAAAATTAATGATAAATTTTCCCCGTGGCAGCAAAATGTAAACATAAGTTTACGTATTTTTTCCAAATAAGGGCCATCGGTTAGACATCGTAAAATGAGATAAGATTCTCATGTGCCAATTACCAGAAGTCAAATATTTGCGGGCCCTCTGTTGGTCGTAACTTGTAATTTGAGTGTGGGGATGCTAAGAAACCAGACCCTTAGGCTCGGTGCACGATTGCGAATTTTTGACGGTCGTGACTAATCGCATGAATATTTTATTCTATAGCAAATTTTAAATTGATTTGTGTAATATGCGTAGTATAAACTGTACCGATAACGAGTTTAGTATTAGTAACTCAGAAGTGCTTGGTCTTGTACTAAACTATTTTTTTTATATATTACTATTGATATTTTACATATTACATAGCAATTGGTAATTGGATGTCGTGGTCCATAGATATTTAGATTCATCTAAAAACCAAAATGCACTATTGTTTTGTCAACCTATGAGCTCTATGTGGCTCTATCTCTAGGTGTCCCGTGTCCTACAATGTTAATGCACGCAACTATAGTGATTCTTCCGCTTACCCTAATTATAGGGAAATTTTACTAAAATATTCTGCTTCTTTATCATAATCAGCACGTAGGCATCCGTGCTGTTTGGTGGCGGCGTATAGATTCCATCACCTTATTTCGTTCCTTGGCATAAGGCGACAATGGGAAATACCAGATAGTTCTTATTGCTTTCAATAGATGGCGTTAAAATCTTTTCGTGCACACCAATCTAAAATAAGGGGGATAAGTCGCTCGCGTCCGTAGGCTTTGACCACCTGTTCCTAGGCCCACCCTACACGTGTCCCCCGGGTGGTGCTAAATGAACGACAAGCCGATACCACAGACTCGGCTCCACGCCGTGGTAGCGGCGTTAAATATACCACCCCATTTCGCACCATCAGGAATCGAATTAAAGAAATGGCCCCGAGTTCCCGGCGCCCCTTTAATGGGGCAGGGGTGCGAATCTCCGGGAGGAAAACCGGCGACGAGGTTCGCCACCCGTCACGTACTGTCTCCCGGAGAGGTGAAAAGTGGATTGCAGAGGCCCGTCTGGATACGTTGAATGTATGTGGGGCAATGAATGATAAAATGGATGAAGTATGCGATATGATGTATGATAGAGGAATAGATGTTTTATGCGTAAATGAGACGAAAAAGAAGGGGAAGGATGTCACTACACATGGAATGTATACCGCATACTGGTCTGGTGTAGACGAGATCGAGCGGGCATGCCAGGGAGTAGGTATCATCCTTTCAGAAAGAATGGGCCAATGTGTGAAAGAGTATGAATGTGTAAGCCCAAGACTGCTATGGATACGAATGAAAGTGGGCTTAAAGAAGTTGTTTGTGTTAGGGGTCTACACCCCAGACATGTCTAAGCCCACTTATATCCGAGAGCAGTTTTGGGAAATGCTAAGGATGGTGTTAATGAAGTGTAAGGGAAATGAAAATATTATTATGCTAGGAGATTTTAATGGAAGGTTTGGGGTCAGGAGACTTGGTTATGAAAGGATATTGGGAACGTTTGGTGATGAAAGTATAAATGAGAATGGTGAAAGTATCCTCACCGTATGTATGGAAAAGAATCTTTTTGTGACGAACACTTGCTTTCGCCACAAGAGGATTCACATGTATACTTGGGAAAGAGGTGACGATAGAAGCATGATAGATTTCATAATTGTGGATGAAAGATTGAGGTGCGCAGTGGTAGATACGAGAGTTTACCGGGGTTCTAACGTAGGAACGGATCATTATTTAGTTTTATGCCGAATTAATGGTCTATTCAGGCGTTGGCGCCATCGATCGTCTGTGTCTACCACTGCGTTACAGCGTATTAGAACAGAAAGGTTACAAGATGAAAGTGATAAAAACAAGTTCAAATGTAGACTGAAAGAAAATATAAGTGGTTTGGATGAATTATGTATGAAGGAGTTAGACTTGGAGAATATATGGCAAATTGTTAAGAAAGGTTTAGTGGATGCAGCTACCGAAGTATGTGGTGTTAGTAAGAGAAAGAATGAAAGAAAAAATAATACGTTATGGTGGATGATGAGATAGTATGGAAGTGAGAAAGCATGGCTAGATTTACTAGCAACAAAGGCTGCTAATTCTAGTGGTACAAATGGTGATATTGAAAGAAAAAAGGCAGTCTTTATACATCTTAATAAGAGAGTAAAAGAAGTAGTTGAAAGAAAAAAGCAAGAAAGAACGGATAAGAATGATAGAAGAATATCGGATAACTTCCAGGCGAATATTAAAATGTTCTGGAAACTTGTAAGAACTGCCAGGGGACATTCAAAACAGCCTATGATGAATGCTATAAGAGACGAGAATGGCTATATTCTGAATGATGAAGTTTTGAGTTTAAAGAGATGGAAGGAATATTTTGAAAGCGTGTTTATGAGTGAGGAGACAACGTGTGTACTAAGTGAAGTAGAAACACCGAAAGGAGAGGAAAGAGGTAGCGAGATAAGTATAGATGAAATAATGAAAGCAATGAAAAGCATGAAAGCAGGTAAGGCTGCCGGATATGATAGAGTTTCACTCGAAATGCTAAGGGCTGGAGAGGAAGTGGTGGCAGGCCTGCTGCACACCTTGTTTAATTTATGCTGGGAACTGAAGCGGGTACCGGTAGACTGGTGCAAAGCCGTGATAGTCCCAGTATATAAAGGAAGAGGGTCGCAGCAGGACTGTAAAAACTACCGTGGCATCAGCCTTCTTAGCATTGTGGGAAAACTGTATGCTAAGGTACTGATTGAAAGGGTCATGAAAGAAACTGATGGAAAAATTTGGGATGTGCAAGCGGGATTTAGAAAGGGAATGGGATGTACAGATCAAGTCTTTTCCATGCGCATGATCGCGGAGAAGTTTCTGACCAAAAACCAAAAGGTTTTTTGTGCGTTCATGGACTTGGAAAAGGCCTATGACAGAGTGGATAGGGATTTGCTATGGCAAACACTGAACTCATTTGGGTTGAGCGCTGGCTTGATACAGGCATTGGAGTCTCTTTATAGGGACTCTAGTGCTTGCGTTAGGATCAACGGGGTCTACTCGGACTGGTTTGACATCCATAAAGGTGTCAGACAGGGCTGTGTGGCTTCCCCGTGGCTGTTCAACCTATTTATGGACAGTTGTTTGCAAAATTTGAAAGTTGAAGAATGCGGATTAAGAATGGGTGAGTTAACCGTCAAATGCCTTTTGTACGCCGATGATCAAGTTATTCTTGCGTCGTCGGCGGCCGAGTTGCAAATGATGGTTACATTAATGAACGGATCATTAAAA